ATGGATCTGCCTCCTGGATTCCTACCCCCTGCTTCTTCGACCAATGAAGTTTGCACTTCTTCGACCAACGAAGTTTGCACTTCTTCGACCAACGAAGTTTGCACTTCTTCGACCAACGAAGTTTGCACTTCTTCGACCAACGAAGTTTGCACTTCTTCGATCAACAAAGTTTGCACTTCTTCGACCAACAAAGTTTGCAAATTGCATAAGTCATTATATGGCCTGAAGCAGGCTAGCAGACAGTGGTTTTCGAAATTGTCCACTGCCCTTATCTCTCTTGGCTACTCATATTCTTCTGCTGACCATTCTTTTTTCACAAAATCACATGACTCTTCTTTTACTGCCTTATTAGCCTATGTTGATGATATTGTCTTAGCCGGTAATGATTTGCAGGAAATCCAATATGTCAAAAGCTTCCTTGATTTCACTTTCAAAATCAAGGACCTTGGTAGGCTAAAATATTTTCTTGGTCTAGAAGTTGCCAGATCAACTCACGGCATTTTTCTCAATCAGATAAAGTACGCTTTGGAATTGCTCGAAGACAGTGGCTTATTGGCTACTAAACCTTGCTCTACTCCCTTCGATTCCTCCTTGAAGCTTCATGATGATAACTCACCACCTTTCGAAGACGTCACAACTTATCGAAGGCTTGTTGGAAAACTTCTATATCTGACTACCACCAGACCTGACCTTGCATTCATCGTTCAACAGCTCAGCCAATTCATCTCACATCCTATGCAAGTTCATCATTCTGCAACAATTCGAGTCCTCAAGTATCTCAAAGGTGCTCCTGCCAAGGGTTTGTTCTATTCATCTTCCTCTCCACTCAAACTCTCTGGCTTCGCAGACTCAGATTGGGCAAGTTGCCCTGCTACCCGCAGATCCGTAACTGGATATTGTGTGTTCCTTGGCAATTCCCTCATATCCTGAAAATCCAAAAAGCAGTCTACAGTATCCAAATCAAGTTCAGAAGCGGAATACAGGGCCTTGGCAAGCTTGACTTGTGAATTGCAATGGCTGCAGTATTTGTTCAAGGATCTCCACATCTCCTTTGATCAACCTAGCTCAGTCTATTGTGACAACAAAAGTGCTATCTACCTTGCTCACAACCCCACCTTCCATGAACGGACAAAACATATCGAAATTGACTGCCACGTCATTCGTGAGAAAATCCAAACTGGTCTCATCCACCTTTTTCGAGTTTCTTCTGCTGCTCAATTGGCAGATGTTCTCACCAAGCCTTTGGTAGCTCCCTCTTTCAATTCTCTTGTTTCCAAGCTTGGTCTATTAGACATCCATAGTCCAGCTTGTGGGGGGCTATTACATGATGCAAATAATTCAGTTTAGTTAACTTTGGTGGTTTGTTACTTAACAGTATATATAGTACTGTCTTGTACATTCCAAAAGCAGAATAATACAATGAGTTTATTCCATTTTACTTTTTCTCTCTTGGCATTCCAAAGTTAACAAGAGAGAATTCATGTGAAGTACATATCGAAAAACTTCACACACTTTTTTATTTGTTATTTTTATTGAAAAACTTCATATAAGTTTTTCGATTTGTTATTTGCTCGGGAAAACTTCATATCAACTTTTTTCGTTTGAAGGAAATGCAAGAATAAAACGGCTAGATCGAAGAGCTTGAAACTTTGGAGATGAAATTAAGTGAGAATATTTTTGATTATTTTTCCAAATTTATGTATGTGGTTAATAGAATGGCGTGTATGGTGAACAATTGGTAAATACTATAATTGTGGAGAAAATACGTCAATCTTTAATAGATAAATTTAATTACATAGTTTGCTATATATTAAAGAATCAAAGGATTTTTGAGGCTTTAACCATTGATAAGCTGTAATGTTCATTAATTTTTCACAAGTATGATACGTGTTAGAAGTAATTTATATTCATAAATATTTATGTTAGTCAGAAACAAAAGCTTCTGAGGTTGCGTTTCAGAAATATGTTTAGCTTCTGGGGTCTTAGTTTGTTTTTGTTAGCTTAGCTATTAAGTATATTTTTGTTAGGGTCTATGTGGCAGTTTATTTTGTGTATTTAAACAAGTTTGTAGTACGGGTTTTGTAATGAAAATTGTTAATAGAGTTTCTTTCTCAACAAGTTGTTACAACTCTCTCTCTCTCTCTCTCTCTCTCTCTCTCTCTCTCTCTCTCTCTCTCTCTCTCTCTCTCTCTCTCTCTCTCTCTCTCTCCATCTTCATTTTTCATCTACAATTTTGTGCACCAACAATTGGTATCTAGAGCTCCAGTTTGATTCATAGGGAAACACGAGTGTACGTGAGGCATGTGTGATTGATTTTGTTGTTTGAATTCACGCTGAATTCACTATCGAAATTGTAATAGAATTGCATTGCTTGATTTTGCGGGATTGGGAAACACAAGTGTTTGGTGAGATCCGAGTTTGAATTTCAGTGCACAAAATGAAGATGAATGGTAGAAACAGTTTGAATACTAAGCTTTCGGTGTTTGGTAGAAAGAATTGGAATCAGTGGATGATTCAAATGCATGTGTTGTTTGGTTCTCAAGATGTTCTTAGTCTTGCCACCGAAGGTTATGTTCCAGTTGCAGCGGATATGGCAGATGAAGAGAGAAACGCATAAAGATATACGAGGAAGAAAGATAAGAAAGCGTTGTTGTATATCCATCAGTGTGTGAATGCGAACGTGTTTGAGAAAATCGTTGATTCGACGACCGTGAAGGCTGTGTGAGATATACTGACACGGTGCTACGACAATGATGTGTTAGTGAAGAAGGTGAAGCTTCAATCCCTACGTAAGCAATATGAGAATCCCTACGTAAGAGATTGGGGTATCTCAACTTCAGAAGCTTAGGGCATCTAAGTTCTAAGAAGCTGGTACATGGCATTTCAAATATAGTGAAGCTTGAGAAGTCATGTGAGGTGTGTATTAAAGGTAAGCAACTCAGATTTCCATTTGCATTGAAAGTATCCCCAAGAGTAAAACATGCTCTGAGATTAGTACATTATGATGTATGTGGATCATTTCCAGAACCTTCACTTAGATGAAACAAGTATTTTGTGTCTTTTTGTGCATGAGTTCACAAAAATGACATGGGTAACACTCATCAAGTTTAAGCATGAGGTATTTATCGAGTTTCAGAAGTTCAAGGTGAAGGCTAAGAAACAAAGTGGTTAGAAGTTGAAATATCTCAAAACTGATGATGGAGGTGAGTATAACTCTACAGAGTTTCAGAAGTTATGTGAGAAGAATAGTATTAAGCATGAAGTTACTGCTCCATACACTCCTCAAAACAATGGTCTTGTTGAAAGAAGAAATAAAACTTTACTTGATATGACAAGGAGCATGCTGAAAGAGAAGAAGTTGCCTCACACCTTGTGTGAAGAAGCTATTTCCACTTCAGCGTATGTGCTCAATAGGTGTCCAACGAAGAAGCTGAAGAAAATTATTCCTTTAAAAAAGTGGACTGGAGATAAGTAAAGTATGAGCCTGTTGCAACTGATTTTTAAACTAGAGTCGCCACCCTTAATTTTTATCCTAAAGGAAGGGAGTATAAAGGAATAACCCTAGAAGAAATTCAGAGATTCTAGGTTTGGACTCGGTTCTAGACGAGGGGAAGGTGTTAGGCACTCCTTATCTACCTTGTTCGCAAGGATACTAGGTTTAGAAGCGCGATGTTTAGGAAATAGGGTTTTTATTGTTTTATTAGGGAAAAGGGTTTGATTTTAGTTAGCAGGATGCTTTAATTTTAATTAGGGGAAAAAGGATTTGGTTTTTAATTAGTGGGACTCACCACGATTTTTGATCGTATGCCTACGTATCCTCCTAGAAGGAATTAGAGCCCCATTTCGTAGTTCGCGGGGTTAGGTTGATGTTTTTTATGGATCGCGCAAAATTGCTTTCGAATTAACCTTGAACCTTGTCTGAGTCAAAAATTATGTGATGGTAGATGCAGTTCGCAGTTTGATTCGAAGACAATGCTATTTAATCCTTTTCGAAAACATCTTGTTTTTTATTTATGTTAGTAGAAAATGATTTGATGTTGTTAGTTAGTTATTTTAAGACGTGGAGAGGGAGGAGCCTGATATAGTCTCCTCATCATGTGGCCAAATATTGGCCACGTGTCGCTCGCGGATATAGTAATTTGTGAGTTGTGTAGATTTTAATTATTTGATTTTAAATAATAAATCAATAGACAATATGTCGACCGATTAATTACTTGAAGATATATATCCTATTATTTATAGAATGTTTGAATTAATTATCTACAAAAAGTTTGATTTTGGTTATTAAAACATATTCTTAATTTCTTTTACATTTTTATGTGAGCTAATAAACAAGTAAATTAAGTATTTTATTAGCTAAGTAAAAAAATTAAATAAGTTAAACTAACTAACTAAAATAAAAATGACCAATTAAAAAAAATTAAGTTAATTAAAAGTTAGCAACAAAATTGAAATAAACTGGGGGAGTGTGAAACTGAAATTCGGGGTGTGAGTTAGTAAAAGGATAAGATTAGAGTCTAAGGTCCAATCATTATAACCCAATTTGATAAAAACTAAAAAAACTAAAATAAAAATATAATAATAAGTAAATAGGGTAGTGGACCATCCAAGCTTTCAGATCTTTGACTTTCAAACAAAACTCCTTGCCACTCCTAACCCGCCACGTGTCTCACAAAACAAAAACAAAATAACAGTGAAATAACAACACCAGCCCCACGTTGAGATTGTTCCAATGAAAAGTACTGTCTTTTTTCATTCTCCATACTCTTCCTCTTTCATGCCATTTTCATGCAATCCAAAATCTCAATCCCTAAACAAAACAATAAACAACAAAGTTAGAGGAAAAAAAAACTTGAATCAACCTAGATGCTGCAGCCAGTTGTGAGCGGCGGAGTCAGAGGTTCGGATCCGTTGAGTTATGTGACGGCAGAGCTATTCGTGAGAGAAGGGAAGTGACGGGGGTCACGACTGGGAGAGCAATCACAGCTTACGATCTTGCAATGATAACCGGTAGATCGAAGGGCGACCGATGGTTCTGGTGTAATTTGGAGACCGGGGCGGAGTGGTTGAAGGGAACCGATAGAGGAAATGGAGGATGCAGTTGGTGCGAGCCGGTGGGTCTTGTGGTGACAACATCGAAGCCTGGAGTCTTCCGACTGATTTATTATTTTTATTTTTTGTATTTTCGTTTCTCTTTCTTTTTCTCCCTTTGTAATTTTTGTTTCTCCCTCTGTATCGTTGTCCCCTTACTGTAATTTCTGTTCTTAGTTTTATAGCTTTTTAAGTTTTAGCATATTAGGAAATTTATTAATGTGCCTGTAAATTGATTTTAGTTTTAAAGGAAACAAATTGATTATGTGCAATTGGTATTGAATCAGTCTTCGAATGCTTAGTAAAATAGTTTCTGTTTTTGTTTGTCTTGTTTCTAGATTTGATATTGTTTCCATTTTTTGCGATCCAAACAGTGTATGTTTTTATTCCTGTCTTAGGCCAAGCGTTTTTGGTAGTCTGGATTGGATTTGTCTGTTTGGGGCTGCGCGTTTCTGGTTTTGGACAAGGGCCTATTAGTGGGTTTCACACTTTAACACACTAATTACAGTTTTAGCAATAATAGTGTTAATGATAAAAAAAATTTAATACTAATACTAATCAATAATGAAAATAATAATGATAATTAATAAAAGTAAATATAGCAAGATAATAGTAATGCTTAATAATAATGTAATATTAAAATAATAGAAAATCAAATGGGCTTGAAGCTTCTCTTTATGAAAATACTTTTTTTTCTCTTTATCAACAAACAAAAACAAAAATTATTAAGTTAATATTTTAATTAAAAAAACTAGTATAATTATTAATAATTATAATAATAATAATAATAATAATAATAATAATAATAATAATAATAATAATAATAATAATAATAATAATAATAATAATAATAATAATAATAATAATGATAATAATAATGCTTCTGAAGGTAGACCTTCTGAAGGTGGAACTTCTGAAGGAAGTCCAGAATGTGATATGGTTCCTGAATCAGAAGGAGATTCTGAACAAGTCCATAGGCCAGTAAGAATTAGACAAATATCAAGGAGATTCGCAAAGTTTGACATTTTATAAGATACTGAAGTAGATTCTGAGGGAGAAGTCGTCCAATGTGGCATGTTAGTAGACTCTGAACCAGTTGGTGTTGAAGAAGCTCTCATGAAGAAAGTGTGACTAAAGGCGATGAAAGAAGAACTTGAGGCTATAGAAATAAATAAGACTTGGGAGTTGACTAAGCTTCCAAAGGAGAAGAAAGTCATCAGCGTCAAATGGGTTTTCAAGATAAAGTTGAAGCCAGATGGATCAATTGGAAAAGACAAAGAAAATTTAGTAGCTAGAGTATTTTTACAGAAATTTGGACTAGATTACTTTGAAGCGTTTGCCCCTGTAGCTAGACATGAAACAATCAGACTGATGATTTCCATAGTAGCTAAAAGAAATTGTTCTTTGATGCATCTGAATATGAAATCTGCATTTTTGAATGGTCCATTACAAGAAGAGGTATACGTGTCATAACCTTCTGGATTTAAGAAAAAGAATCAAGTAGGGATGGTGTACAAATTACACAAAGCATTGTATAGACTGAAACAAGCTTCTAGAGCTTGGAATCTGAAAATTGATTAATTTTTTAAGCTGCAAGGATTCAGAGAGTGTGAGATGGAGTATGGATTTTATGTGCAACATACTTTTGAAGGCAATATGATTCTGGTGTGTCTCTATGTTGATGACATATTTCTAATAGGGAGCTGTTCAGAAGAGATCGTCAAGTTAAAGAAGGTGTTGATAAATGAGTTCGAGATTACTGATATGGGAAATATGGTGTATTTTATAGGAATGGAGATTCAGTACTCTGAGAAGTATTACTTTGCATCATCTAAAGTATGAACTTAACCTTCTGAAGAGATTTGAGTTAGAAAATTGCAAGACTGCAATCGCATCTGCTAAGACGAATCACAAGATGGATTCTGATGTTGATGGTGATGATGCAGATGCTACAATTTTCAAACTATTGGTTGGCTCATTGAAATATCTGTGTAACACCAGACCTGATATTTGTTATGCAGTTGGAATGCGAGTATGTTTATAAATAAGCCAAAGTGGTTACATTACCAAGTTGCTGTCAGGATTCTGACGTACATTAAAAGGACTCTAAGGTATGGAGTGTTGTTCCCTTATGGTGTTAAATCAAATGTATAGTTGATATACTATTCAGACTCTAACTGGGATGGAGACAAAGTTGACAAAATAAGTACTTTTGGACATTTTTTCAAATATCTGGGAAGTACCATTTTTTTGGTGCTCCAAGAAGCAACCTGTGGCTGCGTTGTGAACTTGTGAAGCTGAATACATTACAGGTGCTTTGACTGCATGTCAAGAGCTTTGGCTGATAAATTTGTTGCAGGATTTGAAGATCAAGGTGAGCAAACCTGTGAAGTTGATGATTGACAATAAATCAACTATAAGCCTTACTAAGGGTCCGGTGCTGCATGGGAAAAGCAAGAACATTGACACGAAGTTACACTTTCTGATAATTCAAGTCCAAAATGGAGTACTAGAAGTTGAACATTGTAGCACCCAGAAGTAACTTGCAGATGTTCTAATGAAAGCTGTCAAGACTGAACACTTTATCCATTTGAAGAATGGAATTGGTGTTGTGGAATTTAGTTAGCTGAACATGAATTAAGGGATGATGTTAGAAGTAATTCATATTCATAAGTATTTATGTTAGTCAGAAACAAAAGCTTTTGAGGTTGTGTCCCAGAAGTATGTTTAACTTCTAGGGTCCTAGTTTATTTTTGTTAGCTTAGCTATTAAGCATACTTTTGTTAGGGCCTATGTGGCAGTTTATTGTGTGTATTTAAACAAGTTTGGAGCTAGGATTTTGTAATGAAAATTGTTAATAGAGCTTCTTTCTCAATAAGTTGTTATGGTCGTCTCTCTCTCTCTCTCTCTCTCTCTCTCTCTCTCTCTCTCCCTTTTCTTCCATCTTCATTTTTCATCGTCAATCTTGTGCACTAACAATACGAAAGGACAAGCCTTGAAAGTAACTCATGTGAATAGATTAT